AGCAGAGGACAGACCACGGAACAGAACACTGGCATTCTGATTCTTATTTCACCGCAGATGATTCAGAAAAAAATGCACATAGAAAAGTATGCAGACAGCAAATGACAAAGCAAATGTAAACAGTAAAGCCTATGGCAGGGAATGTCTGGGGGTTTCTTGTAATTTTACTGTAAGCTTAAATTATTAAAAATTACTAAAAATAGAAGGAACAGCATAAGTTAACTGTGTAACAAGACGTGGGCTCCAGTATATTTTATACTAGGTGGGCTGAATGAGGGCAAAATGGAGAGCTAAGTGCAGATGAGGAAGTATAGCATGCTACTGCTGACATAAAAGGTGGGTGCATACACTGGGGGACAGTAGTGCATGGCCCCCATTCGCACTGGATATGCTGAGACAGAAGAATCTCTAGTTTGAGGCCAACCTGGGCTACTGAGTGAGACCTTGTCTCATACTAAACTGTAAGAATGAAAACATCCATTTATATAAGTACATAGGAGGATTCCCACAGCGTAGGAAATCAGGTTACTTCTAGGAAAGGGTACCGGATGGCCAACACATAAAAGAAAGTTTTCTTCAGTGCTCTTGGGGTATTGGAATTCTGTATTGGATTCATATTATTAAAGGACAAGTAATTTGACAACTCATAAAATGGGAGGCAATACCATTTCCTTTTATAGAATACTATTTTTGACAGAGCAAACCTCTTGATAACCTTAGCTGATTTTGGTTAAATTAGTGGAAATACTTGGGTTCACTAAAGAAAGTTATTAATATTTAAAGGTGAACACAAAAACTGCTGTCCTTTGGAACCTTGTAGAGAGAAGCATGTCTAATGAGTATCTTCTGTCTTGTGATCTCCAGAGACCAAACCTGACAGAGGCTTTTATTTTTTCCTTATGTCCTAGCAAGGATTTCTTAAAACAATATAATATATAAATATACAGGAAGAAAATATAAATATATTTTAGGTTGGTAGGTTTGCCAGCTAACCTTTTTCTTAACTTCCTCTCTGTTTGACATTTTATCTCCAAAAAAAGACCAGTTGGATGATGAATGCTACAGTTTTTGACATTTTATGTGGTGATGTTTGTATAGGCTATGTTCCGTGGAAACCGTGAAAGCAAATCTAAGTTGGCACAGTACCCCACTGATATCGTGACCAAATGCTGTCTTTATAATGGTGTTGGTGGTTAGTAGAACAATTCTTTCCTAAGAAAGAACATTAAGGAAATGTGGAAGAAAATTTGACACTGGCTTTCATAATTTTTAGGAAGATTGCATTCATGGAATTTTTATACCTGAGTGGTTTTCCTCCTCTGCTCAGCTGTTTTTCCAAAACTTAGAAGAAAATGTGAAGTGTACCCTGAGCCACTGTTGTAATAGGACAGCTCTACTTCAGGTGTCTCATAATTGTAGGTCCCTGAAATCCTCCCCTAAGTCTGATTCTATAGTTTGTTCTCTCAACCACCACACTGTGAAGTTATAATGTCTCTCTGTCTGGTCTCCAGAGACTATGTCCATCTCCCTACTTGAAGTTTACACTTGTATGTCTGTTGACATCTCAGACTTACTGTGCCCCAAAACAGACTCTTAGTTTGCATCCCATCATGTCCTACACCCAACCTCCTTTTCCAGTCTTTCTCATCTCATTAAATGGCATAAAATGACCCATTCCAAAAGCTTGGCATCTTCACTCTCTCCCTGTCTGTGCCTCGTGTGGAATCCAGTAACAAGCCTCATAGATTCTTCTTTACATGTGCCTCGACTTCAGCCACTCCCATTTCCACAGCCTCAAACCTAGTGCAGACTCTTTTCCTGACTGGATTATTCCCATACCTATGAGTTGATTTCCTTTTCCAGTTCGGCCTCACTGCCCCCTATAGATTTTCTATGCAGTAACTAGATGGACAGTTTTGACGGAAATATGTTAGAAATTGTACAAGTTGTACAAATCACTGTTGTACAAGTTGATATATTTTCACACTAGGTCATACTTATTTAACACTCAGAGCAAGAAACTCAACATTATGATACTGCCATATGTTGTCATCTTTGCATTGCTATGATAAAATGACATTATCAGTGCCATCCCTACTATATTAGGATTCTTCAAGAGAAGGGATTATGTATGTTCGTTTGCAGCATAATATATAAAACTGAAATAGGGTCTGAAGTATAATGTTTAGATTATTTTTATCGTTTTGTCTACATTAGTCCCAGATAAATCTTACCCTGACACAAATACTTTTAATTTGGATGATCTGTGATAGAACATTTACTCTATAGGTTTTTTTAAAAAAAAATGGGAATGCTAGCCAGCCTTTATGGTAACACAGTGTACAGACTCAGATTTTGACGTGAGCTCCTTGTCCTGAGTAGTGAAACCAGAAAGCCATCTAGACATGGCAGTGCTTTGTGTGTCCACTACCCAATACAAAATGACCAGTTCAGTTTTCCTGATTTGCGATCATTTGAAGAGGTGAAAAATTCTGCATATGGGGTGTTGGCTGGCAACAAAAGAGCACATAACATATAGTTATGCACATCCTCCTGAAAAATGTATCAAGAAACAAGCTTTGGCACCTTGTTGTCAGCATCAGTGGACTTGCCAGGTGCTAAGAGGGATGTTCCAAGTGCAGACATATTTCATGAAGTGGTTGCCTTCAATAATTGCCTCTGTTCTGCGTGTTCATATTTTTCTCTTTTTTGAAAGACTCCAGAGGGTTGTCTTGTGATACAAGGTGCTTGTTTTCCCTGTGGTAAAGCAGTTCTAAAGGATTCAGGGCTTTATTGGGGAGCTGTCACTACATATTATACAAAGCAGGAAGGAAGGAGAATATGACTCACTAGTTAGAATGAAGCTATAATTGAGGTAGGACTCTTGTTTCTTTCTGTCTTTTTTTTTTTTTTTTTTCAGAACCGAGGATTGAACTCAGGCCATTGTGCTTGCCAGGGAAGCGCTTATTCTACCGAGCCATCTCCCCAGCTGGGTGTTTTCTTATATAGGCAGCTTTCTTTTTGTTGACAGTCTTGGAGCCTTCTGTTAACTCACCACTAGGTCCTCACCCCATATCAAAGAAGCTCTCCAATGACTTTTACTCATTTTGTAGGTTTAGCTTGTGCACTCACCAAAACTGTCAGAAAAGTGTGCAGGGCAGGAAATCGGTGCAACTTGAAGTGGTAAATAAACTACTGGGTGGGCCACACACAAGCTGAAATGTCATATTTTGCCTTAAAGGCTGCAATTAGATGCAGCTGATCCTTTGACACTCTCTGGTAGGGTTTTGATCTGAGTCTGAAAGCAGTTACTGATTTACTGTCGTCTCTGCAGTTGACCTCTACTTAATGTCCATCAGTGTTTGCAGCTGCTTGCCAGTGCTGGCATCACCGCCTCACTCCGCCTCCTCAGACAGTAGCTTCTCATGAGGAGCACTCCGCCTCGGTCCCTGGCACACCCCTTCATGTAGGCTCGGGCTCCTGTCCAGACGAAGTGGCCTCATCACTGTGCTCGGTGCAGCGCTCAGGTGGTCATGCGAGTGATGGGGAGCAGCTGTAATTACAGATGGAGCTTCACCTCGCCCTGGCTGCCAGCCACCTCGTGTGGTGGACCCCGGCTCCTGACAGGACGCCAGAGGCCCTCAGAATAAGCCCAGATAAATTTTCCTTGTTGGCTAGAGAACTGGGAAGGTGTCAGTAGCCTCAAAAAACCAAGCTCGGTTTCTCCTGTAACTGTAATATTACACATACTTCAAGTTTAGAAAATTGTAGTTTTAAGCATTTTATAAACTAGACTTAATAATTCTCTTTTACCTAATTTCTCTTTTTATGGCTACTTTGAGGCTACATGCATATGTTTGGTTTTTAAGAAGGAATTAGATGTCTTCCATTTGGTCCCATTTGTTTTGTGTCTGTTTAAACTGCTGTCTGACACATATTATTACTTCTTTTATTAATTGTTAAATATCATAAAATGGCTAAGAAAGAAATTGTTTTCACATAATGAGAGGTTGAATTCAGGCCTTCACACTGAGCTGCATCCCCAGTTTTTTGTTGTTGTTGTTTGTTGTTTGTTTTTGTTTTTTAGACAAGTTCTTATTAAGTCACTAAGTTTTCCAAGCAAGGCTCACAATCACCATCTTCCTGTCTTAGCCACCCAGAGAGCCAAGACTATAGGCATGTGTCACCCACCATGCCTGGCTAGAAAGAGATTTTAAAGTCATCTTGTCTTGCTATAAAAGCATTTCTGGATCAGTTGTCAAAATTAGAGTAGTTAGTAGATTAAAGTATTACATCTGGATTTTGTTTCCTAAGCAGACTCCATACTAGGGTTTGTAAGAGAACGTTCTTCTTTGGAAAAACACACTAATCTATTTAGAAATAAAGGTGACATGACTTGTAAAACTTACTCCCAAGCGGTCCAAGAAAATGAATTATGTGAGTGCGCACATGTAGGTCTGTGTACAGAAAGAGAAGCATGGAGGAAATTTCAACCAATGAGACAGTATTAGCAGGTAGAGTTGAGTAAAAGGCATATCAGTGTTAGTTGTACTAATTTTATTACTTCTATAAGTGTGCATTAATTTCTACATGAGTTGCTTTTTAAAAATTGTGGCCTCCATCCCTTTCAAAAAAAAAAAGAAAAGAAATAGTCCTCAAGACACAGGCTAAGTCACCTCCCAGACACACAGGGTGGAGACAAGCTACTCCGAAGTTCCCTTGTGCTCTGCTATATTATACTGCCTTCTTCCAATAAATGGTAGCTGAGCTCTAGTCAAATGCTGAAGCCAGTAACTCTGTGTGGTTACACAGGACACAACTACGCTTGCAGATTTGTGGTGCAGCTTTGAATGTCTTAAAAAAAAATTTGTCTTTAGCTGGTCAGCCCTGTGCCTCTCGATTACTGGGGCACCTTGTTATTCCATGTGCTGCCCACTGTAGTGAGACGTGCCTGTTTGCATTTTAACAAACAGTAGTTTTGTTCTTCTGTTTCTTAATAGCTACTGCCTCTTGGGACACCTTTCTCATGCTATGGAATTTGAAGCCACAAGCTAGAGCTTACAGATATGTGGGTCACAAGGATGTGGTAACCAGCGTGCAGTTTTCTCCACGTGGAAACTTATTGGCATCTGCCTCCCGAGACAGAACCGTTAGACTCTGGATTCCTGATAAGTAAGAGAAAAAACGACACTCTTTGGGTTCAGAAATGTGAAAGGCTGGAGGGTGGCAGCCCGAGTGCACTCCCTGGGAATGCCACATGTCCCCACGTAGCTGTACTTAAGCCGAGTCACATACAAGGTATATGCCCTTATTTTAAAATAGAACTGTTTTATACGGAGTTTCCTCGTTTTTAATTTGTCTTTTAGAAAACTGTTTCTAGCATGGGAATAATATGTCATATGGCTCACATTCAGAGTTTTTTTGGGGAAGTGTGGTGGTAATGGTAAATCTGATGCAAGCTTTAGATTATCCTTCCTAAAAGATGCACATCAGCATATATCAAAGATGACAGTTTGCTCAGCTCCTAATGCCCACCATTTATCTGTCTTTTGGAAGTCTAGATCTCTGTTGAAAATCCCTGTATCAAAACTGTTCTCTGATTGTTATCATGGGGAGAGGGGCTTCCAGCATTTTCTTATTAAAGAAAATTTCTCAAAAAGTATAAAACAGTGTATTTGTTAAGGTAATATATCCTGTTAAAACAAATCCCTGTAAAGGATTTTTTCAAGCCCTAGCTGATAACCTGTTTTAAGCAATTATGAAACCAATGATTTAAAGAAAAAAATGTTCCAGTGTCTAAGCATGTAAGTTTCCAGCTGCATGTGAGAAGATGGACGTTGTGGCTTGCCTAGTGTACTTGCACACCGCTTTCAGCACTCAGCATTCTGCTGGGGTGCTTTCACCAGCCCCACCCCGAGTATTTCAGAACAGATTCTATATATTATATCATTTTCCTCTGTAAGTACATCAGAGGACAGGAATTTGGGCGTTTTTCGGGTTTCTACCGTGGCAGGATCTGGTTTGTAGCACGTGACTAACAGGCCCAGGCACTTCCTGGTGAAGGCCTGCTCCTGGGCCCGGCCTCTGCCGTGGGCACCTTCTTCTGCCACGATCCAGGGGAAAAGCCTGACTTTTATCCTGACGGTAGTAAAAACTGTTAGAGAGAAGCAACTTGCAGGATAGTGTGCATGGCACTAAGAAGAGAATTGTAAGAGTGAAGAGACCAGCTTGGGGTTCAGGAGGAAAAGCATGTACCAGAACTTTAATGTTGGGAATTTAGGGCCAACTGATTGCTTTCTGTTCATTTTTGCAGTGCTAGGGATCACACCAGGCCTTGGACATGTTTCACGAGTGCTGTACCACAGAGCTGTGTCCCCAGCCCTGTTTTTGTTCTATTTTCAATTTTCAGTGCACAGCTCACCCTCAGTCTCCCATTACTGAATCAAGGAAATCTCCATAAACAAATTGTACAAGGGTGGATGCGCAAAAAGCACAGTGAATCATTAGTTTGCTTTGGCCAGTCTAACTGCAGTGATTATGTGTGTGCTGATGTCTCTGGTTTCTCTTGCTAAACCATGTCCAAATGGGGGCAGGGCATCAAGGATCATGTCAGTGAGAAGGAAACTGACGTCTGAATGATCAGTTATCTATCACTGCGTAACAATCCCCAAAACTTAGTGACTTAATACCAGAACTATCATTTCTCACAGTTTTATTGGCTGTCTGGATGGGTCTTCTCCCTACTTGGTGTTCCCTGAGATTACCCAGCTGGCTTCAAGGACCACGCTCCCACCTGGGGCCCTGGTGCTGTCCTTGTGGGCACCTTAGTTCACCACATGCCCTTCCTCCAGTGAGATGACCGAGCAGGACCCTCACAGCAATGCAGCCAGATGCCAGGAAAGCAAAAGCAGAAATTGCTAGACCTGTTAAGGACAAGGCCTTAAACTTGCGCGCCACATTCCATTGGTCACAGTAAGTCACACCGCTGTCCCAGATCCAAAGGGAGGAGAAACCAGTGAGGTACACAGTGCACGCCAAGCATTGCTCTCTTGGTTTCTTACCTGCTTTCTTGCTGAGACAGGACCCACTGGTTAGGAAAGCAGGGGCCCTGTGTGTGTGTGTGTGTGTGTGTGTGTGTGTGTGTGTGTGTGTGTGTGTGTGTGTGTGT